GGAGGAAGTGGAACTGCCAATGAGAAGAGGACAATGCCTCGCGTGCACAATGACACTATGTTACGCTCAAATATACTGGGTCAGGGGAAGGACAGGAGGTCAGACTTCGTGAACTGACACACCTTTGTTGTTCGTCAGGGACGTGAAGTTGAGACCCAGAGCTCTGTAATTTTATTCCTTTACTGCTTAATAAACTACATTAACTTAGATCTAATATCTTCTCCTATTGCTTCATTAAAGAACATGCAGGACTGAGCTCACACATAGCACACTGGAGAGTAGGATGAGCCTCGAGTCCATCAATATGTATGTAATCACTGAGATGACAAAAATTGGCCTCATTGGTTTTGTGTTTTGATTTCAAGCCTGATAATATCATGTCACTGTGACCAGTTTCTTTTTTTCAGTGAGCAGTTGTAATATTTGCAAGCTGTGTAGTGTAGTTAAAATACTTCTTAATGAAGTGCAGGACCATACTCTGAAAAGTCATTTGTAATTTTCCAAATTACTTTCTATTAAGTTCTATGGAGGAACTGAGGTTTAATTATTTCTATTAAATATATTCTTCTCTGTTAAGTGTGCCTTCGCCTGTTGCTTTATCTGGAGGCCTTATTCAAAAAATCATCAGCGTCAGGAACTTTATGGTAGATGTCATTAAATGTGTCTTTTTATCATTGTTCTGCCCAAATTTGTTTGTCACACTGGCACTCACTCTAGAGCAGGTTTAGTGGCAGTGTTCAGGCCAGTGAAAGAAGTCACCGAAAAGCATTTTCTTGTAAGCTTGGTTAAAACCTTTTCTGGGCATAAAACTCAGGTTACTGAACCCTAACGTAGTTTCCAAAGCTAAAATGGTGTTTTCTTAATCGAAATGCAAGAGTTACAAATCAGAAAACAGTGGTTCTTCCTAAGGCAGCTACTGTAGAAATGATTATAGGTGCAACTTCCAGTGAGACAGCAGAAGTAGCAGTAGGTAGTTCGTAGCTTTGACTATGAACGGTGCGTTCCAGTGGCTAATCTCGGTGGCTAACTGCCATCTGTGGCCCTTTTCGAAAGTAATTTGCCTTTTCTTAAAGGGCCAGTGTGTAATATTTGGCATGGTTTATTGTCAATCTGAATCTGAATCTGAATATTCTACCCATTAATATGTTTATACAAGTGTATAATCGCTATAAAATAAAATTCGTTTGGTTTTTGTAGCCTTATAATTATACTTTTATTTAT